ATCAAGTCTTCTGGTTAAGCTTGATATTGAGTCTTCAAGATCTGCTGGCTGAGTATTTTGTTTGATAACAGTTTGAACTTCTTGTTTGAGCTTGTCAAACTTTTCTTCAATCTCAATCAGTTTCTGACTTTGCTTAGTTGCTAAGTAAAGCAAGGTGTTGTTTTGTTTTATAACAGCCTTTACTTGGCTAACTAGAGCTTCTTTGTAGTCGGTTGTTTTTCCAAAACCAACTGCTGGTGATTCAAAGTCTTCAGTGGCTTGTATGGCTTCCTGATACTCAGTAGTTGCCTTTTGATTGGCAATACTCATCTGGTGATGAGCCTCTTAACTTCGTGAAGAAGATTTTCAACCTTCTGGGTTTTATGATTGAGTTCTTCTGTTAGTCTGAGGGCTTCTTTCTCAACTAATTTTGGTTGCTTAGCTATTTCTTGAACAAGGCTCAGGACTTCTCTTTTTGTGAGTGGTTTAGATTGATGGATCTCAGTTGAGATTTGTTGAAAGCTTTTTCTGGTTTCACTCTGAGTTTTTCTTAATAACTCCTCACAGGATTCAAGCTTCTCTTGACAACTTTGGACTTTTGACTCAAGATCTTTTTGTTTTTCAGAAATACTTTTAAAATTCTTAAGTGCTACTTTAGAAAAGAGATTTAAACGATTATAAATACAAGCTAAATTATTCGCTAAATCGGTAGTTGTAGGTTTAGAACTATTTTCTTTAAAAATGATATACTCAGGATCCACAGTTCGTGAATTATCGTACCAATTTTGTATCTCTTGCTCAAAGCGATCGGACATAACATAAAAACTTCAAAGGTTTATATTTACAAACTTGTTTTAAGACTCACTAAACGGTTAACTTCAAACACTTACCAACTCTTTCGGTACTTTTTAATAGAAGCAATTGCGCTGTCTTTTATCTCAACAGACTTTGATGACACCAGTGTCTATAGTATATCAGAAGGAGAAGGCGATACCCATCAAAGCATCAGTGTTATATGGATTTATATATAAATGTTTATATTAGCACTGAGCAGTATTTTAATAAAATGTGTATAAGAAATTATGTTTTTTGATATCAGAATAATTAATTTTTTTTTGGAACCGGCAAATAAATATATTAATTAGAAACCTGCTACCCGCCTAACAAGGAGCTAGACGGTCATAGCAGTAACAAAAGAAAACAGGTACATGTTTAAGTTTTACAAGCATAACAAAGGGCAATTAACCCATTCGACCCATTTAATTGAACATTTCAACCTCCTATATTTTACCCAGGTAAAGACCTGTGACTTGATGATCTCCACTACTTTGGCTGGTGGGATATGGTTACCTTTGAAAACTCTATCGCACCTTGCTTTCCATATCCACCATAGTGTCCCATACACAATGCTGATGAAGTTGTTCCTCCTGATGCGACAGTTCCCCCATGAGTTTGCGTGCTTAGGAATACTGCACCAACTGTAAATCCAATCCCAAACGTCTTTTGCATACGGACAGGGAGATGAAAATGTGATCTAAGTCCTCTTCAGCTTCAGAACAGTAACCACATATTGTGGATCCTGCATTGATTCCTCTCCTAGATAAAGCCATTAGAGATGGGATACGACCTTGCATTGCTCTCCAGACGAAACATGTAACTTTACTAGGCAGTTCTCTAATCCAGTCAGCCTTTCCAATAGACATCGGGAATTGAGGCCAGTCAATCAATCTGCGCAGATTACTAACGTGGAATACACCATCATAAGAGATACCACAAGACCAATTGTCGTCACGTCTGCTTATCTGAAAGCTACCAATGAGAGCTGATAAACTCGTTAGTTTTGCGCGTTGGGACACGGAAGATGGATGTGAAATCCAATCCCAGGATGGACCATCGACATTCACCCTATCCATAAGAAGACATCTCTTCTTTCTTTCAATTCTATATAACTCCAGGAACATTGTCTTAAGAGTCTCCGATCCAGCCCATCGATCCTGCCAGAATAGTGTGGTATTAGCCTTCTCAATTTTTTTAACGATCACCTTGCTCATCTCTATTCCCTTCTCCTTCAAGACATCGGCAATACCTGCAATATTATTCCAAACACCACTAATACATTTTGTGGATAAACGATTTTCAGGTTTATTACGTATGTTATGGATTCCATTTACGATTAGGGCCCATCGGTTCCACTCGAAGGCGGCACCACCATTTAGATATAAGAGCAATATTGAGGGCCCTTAATGATCCCACACCGAGACCCCCCATCTCCTTGGGAGCAACAATTTTTTCCCATGATACCCAATGAACTTTACGCTTGTCATCGCCCCCTCCCCACAGAATTCTTCGCTGGATACTTTCTAAATACTCAATTACCCCAATTGGGGCGGTAAACAGAGAGAAATAAAATGTGGGAAGATTCCCCAACACAGCTTTTAGTAAAGTTAGTCTCCCTCCAAAGGATAAGGATTTCGCCTTCCACATTGATAGTTTGGACTGGAACCTTTCAATCACCGGTTTCCAAAAATTTTTAAGTTTCATATTCGCACCCACCGGTACTCCGAGGTAATTAAACGGGACCACAGCCGGTTCACAACCTAGTGGGGCCGCCCATCTAACAACTTCTTGCCAATTTGCCCCAACACCGAACACCCGTGACTTCCGAAAGCTTACTTTGTGGCCGGATGAGACATGGAAGCACCTGAGAATTCTAGAAAGATTCTTTATATTATCCTTACACCATTCTCCTAGGAAGAAGGCATCATCCGCATAAAATAAATGGGAAATTATAGTGTCACTGTTTTGTATCTTTATGCCTTTAAATAAACCTTTTGCACAAACCTCTTTCATAGCCACATTCAATCCTTCCATTGCAATTATGAACAGGAAAGGAGAAAGTGGATCCCCTTGTCTAACCCCCTTTTCCATAGCAAATTCTTTGGTGGGCGACCCGTTAATTAGAACAGAGGCCTAGCCGATGTGAGACATCCCATGATCCACCTCCTCCACTTGTCACCGTAACCCATTTGTATTAGGATGGACTCGAGATAACCCCAGTTGATTGAGTCAAAGACCTTATCAAAATCGACCTTAAAGAGTAGGATTTGGTTTTTTTTCTCTTTGCCCAAGAACATAACTCGTTGACAATCAATGGCTCGTCCAGTATATTCCTTCCATCAACAAACGCAGTTTAATGAAGATATTCTCTTTGAGTCTTTTCGTATGAATTAAAATCGTTTGAGACTTTAAATAATCATAAATTTAATATAACACTTGTTTCAATAAATGAGAGTTTCATGTATATTGAAATTATGAAATGGTTTTAATAGACTCTACATTAATATAATGTTTTTCTACGCTTATTGATTATTTATTTATCATAAATTCTATTTTTTAATATTTTTATTTTTTATGAGAAATTCATATATATCTTAAAAAAACAATTAAATGTTATATTTTCTCTATCTGAATTATATATATTGTATATGAGCTTCTAAAACATTATAATTATTAATGTCACTAATCTTAACATTTTGTTTATAATCATTATTTATTATCAAAAATCATTTTATTGATAAAAATAAATTGATCATAATACCCTTTCTTCAAACATACATATTACCGAGGTCTAGAAAAGGCCTCGACACACAATCGACCACATGCCAAAATTATTGCTATTTTAATACTTTTTTAACTTTTTTTTTTTACTATTTTATGGTAGAGAAATTAAATATCCTTTTACAAAATCTTCCTATTTTTCTTTCTACTCATGACAAGTGTCATAATCAAAAGAAAATATAAGGAAAAAGAATTAATGTATTTTACTTGACAATTGACAATCAATGAATAAGTAGGAATATGAAGTAAGAAGATAAAGTTGGAATCTTAAAAAAAAAATTAATTTTTTTTTTAATTTTTCTTTATGGTGACAATTAGAGGTGGCAATGGGTCCACCTGGGTTGGGTTCGGGTTCAACCCATTTAATAATTGGGTTGAAAATTTCAACCCAACCCAACCTGTTTATTTAAATGGGTTGATATTTCCAACCCAACCTAACCTTTTAGATAAATGGGTTGTCATCGGGTTGACCTTTTTATGTAGTTCACTACCCAACTTATTAAATAAATGGGTTAAACTTGGGTTAACATATTTAAAATCAATTAAATAAATTATATAATTAAATATTATACCACTTCAATTATAAAATGTAAATAAAACTTCATAATTATGACTGAAGCACAATCCTAATTCATAAATACAAATAAATTGTTCAAATAACATTAAAAATGTTTGGTTTCACTGTGATTTTGGAGAGTGACTAGTATTATCGGCGCTAAAAAAATGAAAATTAGGATTGAATTTTATTAAACATAGTTAATAATAATGCAACATTATAATTTACAAATTAATATTTTGATTAATACATAGTAATATTCAAATAATTATTAAATTATATATATATATATATATATATATATATATATATATATATATATATATATATATATATATTAAAGCTAAATGGGTTGACGGGTTGAAAACAGGTTATTCAAATAATTATTAAATTATATATATATATATATATATATATATATATATATATATATATATCTATATATCTATATATATATTAAAGCTAAATGGATTGACTGGTTGAAAATAGGTTGATAATTTTTACCCAACCCAACCTATTTAATTAAATGAGTTAGACGGGTTGACCTATTTAAATTAAATGGGTTGAAAATCTCAACCCAACCCACTAATTTTGGGTTGGATTCAGGTTGGGTTGACGAGTTGGATCGATTTTTGCCAGCTCTAGTGACAATCAATTTAATTTTTCTTTACGGTAAAATCTGAAAAAAAAAATATCATTTTTTCGATCTATATTCTCCGAACTTTTTATTCACTTTTTAATATAAGTAATATGATTAGATTTTTTTTTTTAGAAAAATCAAAAATATTAAGTCGTACTTCTGATACATAAATTAAAATTTATCCGTTTAAATTCGAGTCGGTTTTATAGCTCTATAAGCCGTCCATTTTGCAAGCTTGAATATTACATGTATCAAATCCTCTGCCCGCCTGCTCTCCGATTAATCGCTGGCGTAATGAATGCGATAGCGGGTAACCATTAAAAGTTCGTTTGGGGGTAGTTGCATCTTCATCCCCTTAAAACCCCCCTCAATTCATCACTTCTCCTCCAACCTACAGTTTCTCCTTTCTGGGTGTTCTTCAATTTCCTCTAATTCATCTGGGTTTTTGTTCAATTTCCTGGTCAACAATGGCGGATTCACCTTCGGAGAGAGCATCTCTTCCAAACTTCCTCTTATCTGTGAAACTCAAATACGTGAAATTAGGTTACCATTACCTGATCACACATTTCATGTACCTGTTATTAATCCCAATCCTTGCAGTCGTCTCTGTTCATCTATCGACACTCACATCACAAGATCTACTCCATCTATGGCAACAACTTCGATTCAATCTACTCTCTGTTATCATATGCTCAACTCTAATCGTCTTCCTAGCCACACTCTACTTCATGAGCCGCCCAAAGAAGGTTTACTTACTCGATTTCGCCTGCTATAAACCCGACGAATCTAACATCGTTTCTCGTGAAACATTCATGAATCATTCAGCTCTCGCGGGGACATTTAGCGAAGAGAATTTAGCGTTTCAGAAGAAGATTCTCGAACGATCTGGATTAGGTCAGAAGACGTATTTCCCTGAGGCGGTGTTGCAGGTTCCGCCGAATCCGTGTATGTCGGAAGCTCGAAAGGAGGCGGAGATGGTGATGTTCGGCGCCATTGATGAGTTGTTGGCGAAAACTGGTGTGAAGGCGAAGGATATTGGTATACTTATTGTGAATTGTAGCTTGTTTTGTCCAACACCTTCGCTTAGTTCCATGGTTGTGAATCATTACAAGCTCAGAGGGAATGTTTTGAGCTATAATCTCGGTGGGATGGGGTGTAGTGCTGGATTGATCTCCATTGATCTTGCCAAACAACTTTTACAGGTATTTTCGTTTTCTTTTCTTATTAATTTTATTCTTGTGGGATAACTTTTACAAAGTGATTATACTTTTTTTTTTTTTTTTTTTTTTTAATCTTTATTATTTTCAAAAAATGAAGACGATGATCGTACTATTTTGTATCTATGCAAGTAGTGCTAGCAACGTGAAACATATAAAACTAAAAAGTACACTATGAATTATATTTTATTGGATCTCATAGCTGTAAATCCGGAGATACAAGTTAATTTAAAAGATTTTATGTTTCATGATTTCTTGGAAACTTCATAAATTCCAAAGGAATCGATTCTTTCATAGTTACATCGGTTTTAACGGATCCTTCTTTGAAGTTTTTAAGAGTGATTCGATTTATATTTTGGTTAACTTCTTGTGGGGTTTAATTTGATAAAATTTTCAAAAGAAAAATGTATGTTAGAATCACCGAATAATTTACAAGTTGTGGTTTTAAGAGCATCTTCATAGTTTTTATTTTTTTAAGTTTTAATGGATATACGGTATATGTGTAATCCTTCTTTATTTTATTTAGTAAGGACTTTTTATTTTTATTGTAAGGACTATTTTATAAGAACTTTAATCACACGATAACTTAGTAAGGACTACTTAGTAAGGCGTATTCAATAAGAATTTTAATCATACGATAACTTATTGTGTAATCCTTCTCTATTTAGTAAGGACTTTTCATTATATAGTAAAGGACTATTTAATAGGAATTTTAATCATACGATAACTTAGTAAGGACTACTTAATAAAAATTTTAATACCGACTATTTAATAAGAATTTAATTAAACCGAACAAAAAGAAAACGACTTAAGCAAGACGCTCAAGTCAAACCGACCAATCTAAATTACAATAGAAGTTTGAAGTAGAAGATATAGACTAAACCGACCAATCTAAATTACAAAATTTAGACCTAAACTTTATCCAATTAAAGGTGTCCACATAATCTAATTTCAAGATAAACCCATCTTGAAATTAGTCCTTTAATATTTAATATTTAACGATGACTATAAAATTAACTTGGATAGAAAATTTCATGGTTAGATTATGTTTTGAAATTGGATCATCTTCATTTATAATTATTTAGTTTTATAATTATTAATATGTATTTTACTGGGTCTTATAAAAAATAAAACTAACATAATTACTATAGCTTAATAGGTCTTGATACAATCAGAGAATCGTCGAAACAATTTATACTAAAAAAAACACTTTTTTTTTAAATTGCTACGTATATTTTGAAGAACAAAGCATATTTTCATGGGGTGATGTCATTACTTTTTTGTCACATGTGGGGTAGAATTCTCGACTTTTTTTTCTTTATACTTGCTTATATGGCATGGGGCCCACCATGGGAAGTACCCACCATGTGACTAATAGTCCAAATGAGAATTCCCCTTTTTCAGGAAGTATAGATCTAGATCATGGACAAGCTGGCCTTAATATGGCTATTTTTCTACTTTTTCTTAACTTCTTAAACTAGAACAATAAAGGTATCATAACAATAATTATTCCAAATAATACAAACCATTTTATACAACATTTGTTTGATCATAATTGTTGATTATTTGAAAATGAAATTTAATTTAATCCATTTGTTTGTTAAAAATAGGTACAACCTAATTCCTATGCTTTGGTGGTTAGCATGGAAAACATAACATTAAATTGGTACTTTGGGAACAATCGATCTATGCTTGTGTCAAATTGTCTATTCCGAATGGGCGGTGCTGCAATTTTGTTATCTAATCGATCATCTGATCGCCGCCGCTCAAAGTACCAACTAATCCACACAGTCCGGACCCACAAGGGCGCAGACGACAAATGTTATAGTTGTGTTTTCCAAGAAGAGGACAACGAGAAAAACATAGGTGTTGCTCTTTCAAAAGATCTCATGGCAGTAGCCGGTGAAGCCCTAAAAACAAATATCACCACCCTTGGGCCGCTAGTGCTCCCCATGTCGGAACAACTCTTGTTTTTTGTAACATTGGTCGCAAGAAAAGTGTTTAAATTGAAAATTAAACCGTATATCCCGGATTTCAAGCTTGCATTTGAGCATTTTTGTATCCACGCGGGAGGAAGAGCAGTGTTGGATGAATTGGAAAAGAATCTTGAATTATCGGAATGGCATATGGAACCTTCTAGAATGACACTTTATAGATTTGGTAATACTTCGAGTAGCTCATTGTGGTATGAGTTGGCGTATTCGGAAGCTAAGGGTCGGATAAAGAAGGGAGACAGATCGTGGCAAATTGCTTTTGGTTCGGGTTTTAAGTGTAATAGTGCAGTTTGGAAGGCGTTGAGGTCTATCGATCCGAAAAAGGAGAAAAGTCCATGGATTGATGAGATACATGAGTTCCCGGTTCATGTACCGAGGATCGAAAAGATTGGTTCTTAAGATGTTGTCTTTTTTATATTTCTTTAGCGAGATTGAATAACCTATGGTTTTTATTGATGTTATGTATTATAGAAGTCATTAAAGGGAAAAGGGCAATTGGCCTTTGGTCTTCTCTTGTGATGGATCGTGGAATATGAAAGTGAATATTAACATTTACTATTGTTAGAATTATAGAATATTTTAAATTAAACTGGCTCCTTATGCTAAATTTATCTTTGTGTTAGAAAATCTCATAAAAAATACAAATCCAAAGAGAGCTCGCAACTATGATGTTCGGAGGTCAAATACATACCTCCATTTCAAAGGTATAAATGTATGGTCGGTTGCGCAGATTGAAGGTTGCACACAAAATAAACTCCACGGGACTACAGGAAACGCAAATCACATATTACACTAGTGTCAACACCGAAGGATTGAAGGTTGCGCACAAATTAAACTCCACGGGATTACAGGAAACGCAAATCACGGAGTACATTAGTATCAACACTAAGGATGTTGGGACTCAACTGACCATGATTCTTCTAAAGGGGTAGATTCAAACGGTAGATCGGGTGGATTGATATCAATTTGGGACACCCGTTCCTTTCAGAAATTGGAAGTCATCAAATCTCGTTTTTCTTCTAATTGTTGTTGGTTGTTGGATTGGTGCCAACACCTCTGGCCGACGGCGGAAACGTCGGGCTGTATGACGTAGGGATATTGGATCGAGACACACAGCTATATTGAACATTACACAAAAATATAACGCAAAAGATACTCTTATTTATTATAATTTATTTAGGATTACATTGTTTAATAGATCAACCACACATTCTGAACATAACTAGAAATGACAAACAAACCGAAATAAACTCCAGCAAGCTTCTTTCATGGCATCCTCATCTGCATGACTATCCTCCACACTCATCTCCCCTCAGAATACATGTATTTTGAAAAACGTCAATATAATATTGGTAAGTTCACAGGTTTTTATAGTTTTCTATTTTAGTTGTTTTTATTTTTAAGAATCATTTTCCTTTTTAGAAAAACCTTTCTATCTCTGTTAAGATATCTTACCGACCTTAACTTATTTTATCTTTATAAGATATTTTACCATTCCTATCTTACTATCTGTGTAGGATATTTTACCATTCTTATCTTACTATCTTAATATTTTAGGATATTCTATTAATCCTAACCTATTTTAGTTACCATTTGAAGGCGTCCATCGAGGTAGTCGGATCTTTAAGGTTGTTGTAATGTATTACCTTTAGCCCCCATAATCGACGTTGTAGACTAATAATTTCCGCGCACGACGCTTCATCAGATGTCGAATAGTGTTTGAATAATAAAGAAAGTTATCATGTCGGAATTGTAGCTAGCAATCGCAGGTGGGGTGTCAAACCATGTATAGATCTATACATATCTTTCTGGCTCTCGCAAGATTAACGGTTACAGGTTCGGGGTAGCCGAATTTAATCAAGCTAAGGATGAATAATAACAGTTCACTAACACATTAACCTTAGGTATTTTATCTTTTATCTTTCTTTCTTAGTAATTTCCTATAACTATCACAATATAAATCTTTTACTTTATATTTGATAATTAAAACTTATAGATCTCATAATTATCTAGTGTGTGTGTGTCTATATATATATATATATATATATATATATATATATATATATATATATATATATATATATATATATATATTGCCGTACATATATATACCCTAATTATGGATAACATGATATTTCGGCAGAGTAACGATTAGGCACATTACATATCCCTATAGTTGACCAACATTACTTCTAGGTACTATGTTATCCTAGGGAATTGGTCATCATAACATCTAGGTAATATCTCTTCCAAGAATATCATAACTCTTAGGCATAATATCGTAGCTTAAAACTAGGTATAGTATCTATGGCTACATTATCCTAAGGTTTCATGCTTTATATAACAATTGATATTTATAGATATAAATATATTTTGATAAAGCAGTTTGATAAGCATGTATTTCCTCATCGTAAAACCTTTAAAATAGTGAAATGGGGTCGTGAACTCACTCTTGACGCGTGAGACCGTTGGTGTAGAGTTGAATCAGACTCGGGACTTGTCACACCCCCAAACCAGAACGGCGGAAACGTTCGGGGGCGGAGGACTTCAGGTAAGTATCACAACACATGCAATATAGTAATCAGAGTACAAACAACCATTGCATTAATAAGTATAAGTTTTACATAAGTGTTTAAACATTACATATTCAAACACCAAAGTAGGTACAGTAGAAGACAAGAGTCGCGGTACGGTACTAGGTAGTCTTCTCAAAAGCTTCGGGAGTGTACCTGTCTACTGGATTCCTGAGAATACAAGTTATTTGGAAAGAGTAGATCAGCATTTAAGCTGGTGAGTTCATAAGTATTTTAGTTCTGTTAAGTATACCCTAAGTTCTTTGGATAAGTTCACTGGTTCCTCCATAAAATCTTATATTTCCTGAGGTGATTAACTGATAACCTCAATAGTTTCCCTCTGTAATTACTTAGTTTATACTGATTATATATAACCCAATATCGAATGGACAGTTAAATGGGTGTATCTGCCCTAAGCCCACAACCAAACAAGGAACAGGAAGTAAGGCGGAAGTCACACATTTCACCGTCAATCGGATATTACTTATGTATAACTATGATGTAATAACTAAGGAATTATAGAATTAACCACTAAAGGTATTTTATGTTATACTAGTTTACAAAGATTGAATGACTAAGTTTCATTTGATAAGTGGTTTAATCCCATAAACGGTTTCCTTTGTATAAGTGGTTTAATCCCATAAACCGTTTCATTTGTAAAAGTGGTTTAATCCCATAAACCGTTTCATTTGTAAAAGTGTTCTTAGTTATATCTGTTCTATAGTAAAAACCTTAGTATTAATCCTGGAATATGTTATATTATCCATAATACTGCCTTGTGGTTTTAAATGTTCAAAACCAGAAGTACAAGTATATTTACCATACTTGATTTCATGATACATAGCTTTTACTGTAAGTAAAAACTACAGAAGGTATATTTGGTCGGGATGTAATTATCTTTTCTTATTGTTTTAAGAGAAGTATATTAATTAGTAATTCACTCGTTGTTTTATCCATGTGAGTTCTATTAACCATACTAATATGACTGATATGCATGCGACGACGTTCTTCAGGCGTCGGAATGGTATGATATTTGACACCCTACGCCTGCCGGCCAAACTGTAGTGAACAGTAGAGGTGCGGGATTGTCAGTCCCATATAGATCTATACACAAATTCACGCTCTCCCTACAAGAGATTCTGGTTAATAGGTCAGGACTTAAAAGTCGTACTTAGATAAGTACACCGTAAAGGGCCTCGCAAATTTATTGTTTCAACGAGATTTATGATGTATTATTACCTCGTGATTGCTAACCCTGGTACTCTGTATATCGTACCTTTGTTAATGCAAACCCGGTATGATGTATTATTATTACCCTGTGATGGCTAACTCGGGTACTCTGTATATCGTACTTTTGTTAATGCAAACCCGGTATGATGTATTATTATTACCCTGTGATTGCTAACTCTGGTACTCTGTATATCGTACCTTTGTTAATGCAAACCCGGTATGATGTATTATTATTACCCTGTGATTACTAACTCTGGTACTCTGTATCGTACCTTTGTTAATGCAAACCCGATATGATGTATTATTACCCCGTGTTTGCTAACCCTGGTACTCTGTATAGTACCTTTGTTAATGCAAACCCGGTATGATGTATCTTTACTTCTTTATTATGTTGTTCGTATATTAAAGGTATTATACATATCTGGATATAGTTGAATGAATTTTGGTAATTTCCTTGGAAGGTATACAGTCGTGAATCATACTTGTATATTTAGTTTTGAATCATAAATTATACCTATTATAATTTATATGTTCTATCTGATTAGCATGATTTCTCATGGATGAACACCTTTGCTCAGCCTGATACAAAGGTAATGATACCAAAAGGAGTAACCTTTTATACTCATATATGTATAATATATATATATATATATATATATATATATATGTATAATATATATATATATATATATATATATATATATATATAAAATATATATATATATATATATATATATATATATATATATATATATATAAAATTAAGAAGGAAACGACCTTCGGACAAATAATACAACCTTAATTCCACATCCAAACAAGGAAAAGGAAATAAGATAATTCATTAGTCCTAAGCCCTTCAAATCTTATTTATATATTTATACATATATAAACATGATTTTGGCATTTATAATTTGAAATAGTTTATAAAACATTTTTCAAAGAATTTAACGGAGTTTACATGACTTTAAAGATTTAACATTGCTTTAAGTCATTTTGGAAGCATTTGGTAATTCTTAAAAGCATACGGAAACATCACATAAATAGTTATTAACACAATTTAATATTGTGTTAAACTTGTATTCCCCCCTAAAAAGCATTTAAAAACCATTAAAAAGGTAACTTATAGGGGTATGAACTCACTTTGATAAGCGGTGATTCGGGCAACGTTTCGTTTCCCGGAAAGGAGTTTGTTTGACGAGAAACCGGCTCAAATCGGGCAGAGTTTCGACAGGAGAGAGGTTAACTTCTCGAGAATTCCGGGGCTCCGGGGCTTGCTTCGGGCTTTAGACACGATACCGGGGCCTTGGGGGTCGTGAGAGAGTCTAGGGGGTGAAAATGTGAAAAGTGGTGAAATTTGGGGTGAAAAATCCCTTAAATCCGAGAAGGCTCACATGCCTTATATAGGCCGCAGCCTCGGATCCGGAGTAAGGAGGAGCTGCTGCGTGTTCGGACAGGTGGCGAGGCGGAGCTTCGGTTCGGACAGGTGGTGAGGCGAGGCTTTGGTTCGGACACCTGGCTCGTAGATGGCAGCTTCAGACTGGACCCAACTTTGGTCCAATGGGAGGAGGGCACGAGGGTCATCCGAGGAGTGTGTGCGGTGTGTCTCATGCGAAGGTGTCCGAGGCTTAGTGGACCACGGACTTGGTCCAATCAGAAGGCGACACGGGAGGCTGCGGTCCAATTAGAAGACGTCACGTGGAGGCTGCATGCGAGGGATGACGTGTCCGAAGAGTGACTCATGCGA